AGAACACTTAATTCTTTCTTATTAATAAGCCTCGCCGCTACACACCTGTGAGGCAGAGTGGGAGTCACTGACTGTGGGCTCCTGCAGAGGACAGTGAAAAGAAGGACTGGGGAGAGGGGAGAGACAAAATAATATGTACAGGCTGGGGCTGTAGGTGTGGTAGCATGGATGTTCAACCAGAAATCAAGAGTGAAGGGAGTGAGGTGAACTGAGTGGGCTAGATTAGGAAGAGAGAGCGAAGCGGGACAAAGCTGCCTTGGAGACCACTGCTGCAGTTGCTCAGTTTCTGAGAGGCTTGCAGACATCAGCAGACCTGAAAGAAAAATGCAGATGGTATAGTGGGCACAGAGCTGCTTATTTTTCAGTGGAGTTCTGAGGCTAGAGAGGTGAGAGTAGCTGTGGTCCTTGAGGACCACAATGAAGGTAAGTTCCCAGAAAAGCCAAGTGTGAGATGAATTGGTACTTTGATGAGTTCTCGAATAGTGTGGTATTCCTCCAGTATAGTGGAGTTCACTGTGTTCAGCCAGTAAATTATTATGTGCAGGGGAGTGGAAATGAGACAATTCCATCTGAAAGTCTGTTCAGTAACACCATTCAGTATCCTGAAACACTGAATAAGGTCACAGTTTACTTTATTATAGTTTGCTAGAACAGCAAGAGCCTGTACATGAAATGAACTTCAGGACTGACCAGTAATTAGATTATTTAAAATGCAATCATGGGTCCATTCCTATACTGATTTGTACTGAAGCCAGAGACTAAAAGTGAAAGCAGTGGAGGGGAATATCATCTTGAACTCAGATTTTTAACAGGTTTCTTTCTATTGTAATACTCATTTGAAGATGATACCTCATGAGGTCTACAATGTGTTTTAATAATGACTATTTGAAGGAGGTGGATGCCATGTCACTCCTGGCAGGGATATTTCCATTACATGGGACAAAGACCGAAAAACTCTACCCATAGGTGTTCTAGCTTTTGTTTGTTCTTGTTTTTCCATGTTGTTTTCCTCTCCCTATGATGCTCCATGTTGAGAAGCAGCTGGTTGAGCAGCAGCTGTTTTTGCTAGAAAACTTAGTTTTAATGACAGAATGTTATAAGAGAAACAAAGTGGAATTACACTGAACAAAACAGGCATGAAGAAAAGTAAATGAAAAAAGTAGAAAAAAAGTCCTTAATTTTTGTTAAAAAAATGAAAAACTAAAAAGGCGTTCCTCACCGTGCCTCAGGTTTTCAGGTTTGATTTAACAGCCTTTCATAAATACATAAATCCATTAAGGATGACGTTTATTACTTAGTTTTCTCTTGCACAATAGTCCAAGCTATTTTATTTTTCTGACAGCACAGTGATGAATACTGTATGTTTTCTGTTTCTTATTCACTTCTTCTGAGTCATTAATCTGCGAGGATCACTCACTCCATCACCCCCGCACAAGCTCTTGGTGAATATTAATTTTCTGTTATTTGTCTGTTCAAAGGGTCCTTCACAGACTCTAAATGACATCTAGACAGATGATGTATGACTAGTGAATTAGTGAATTAGTGACTAGTGAATTAATATGCAGAAATCTTCTTGTTTTGTATGTTACTATAAGAGAGATCACTTTATTAGCCATATACAATTTCTTGCATTAGGAATTTGTCTTTTCCCATACCCCAGCTTGCCCTCCATAAAATATTTTTTTTATAAGATCAAGAAGCTCGGGGTCATTTATACAGCACTCCTGGAGCAGCTGGGGTTAAAGGCCTTGCTTAGGGACCGAATAGAGTAGGATTCCTCTGCTGGTTGCAGGATTTGAAACACCAACCTTCCAGCCATAGGCACAGATCCTTAGCCACACTGCCACTGCGATCATCCACACTAATTCTAAGGAAAAGAAGCATTATTCATTTTGTACATTAGAATCTGTCTTTAAAGTTTAATCTGTAAATAAGGCTGAGGTTGATTTTTTCTCTTTATTTCACTTTTCTGGAATATTTTGGTGAATTTAAGGTAAGGGGTTTTCTCTGTTTAAATTACTGGGAATTGTTAGGTCAGGAGTGTCCTCAATGCTGAACCTGAAGGGCTGGAACGTCTGCAGGTTTTCCAGGTCTCTTTGAAGCAGCAGCACCTGAAGATCTGTTGAATTGGTGCAATTAATCCAATAAAGACCTGATTGAGGTTTTTAATAGCCCAGCTGGACTGAAAGCTCTAAGGTTCAGGGTTGAGGACTTCTAGGTTAGGTAATTAGGTAATTAGGAGACTTGCATGAAAGGATTCGTTCTTCCAGACATGAAGGCCACACAGAGGGGGTGGTGCAGGTCAGATGTGAGCAAAAGGAACCAACTGTGGTTGTATTTGATGTTAACTATAACTATATATGAGGTCTGTTCGGTGCTAAAAGATGCACTTCATAATTTTACTATCCAAACTACAAATTAGACTGTAAACAGGATCATTCTGCTAATTTATTAATTAAGCTGTCCCTCTGTCAATAGTTTTGTTTTAAATCAATTTTGAGCAGTGATACGATTGACTTTCACTTGATTGTTTGCAATATTTGCTCCACTTGCATCAGAAACAATTTATGCAATGTGTACTACTTCTGAAAATCTAAAGATGTACAGTACATATAAAACTCTTTGAATGTCTAAATCAGGGGTGGAGAACCTTTTTTCTGCCAAGGGCCATTTGGATATTTATAACATCATTCGCGGGCCATACAAAATTATCAATTTAAAAATTAGCCTGCAATATTTGGTCAAATATTTAATTAACTCACCCCTAATGTGATGGCTGGAACTGCCTCTCTTTGGCGAGGCGTGTGATGTTAGCTTGTATTGATGATGTTGCTGCTTTTTCAGGCTTGCGTTGGTCAGTCTGGAGCGCAGTCGATCAAACAGCCACTTGCTATCATTGAGTTCCCTGACAGGTTTTCTCTTCACCTCCATGAACTGCTTGACTTCATCCTGCAGTTCGTAAAACACAGTGTGTTAACACTTTCGCAATGTGTACACTCCCAGCCTGCCTGGCACTGACTGCCCTCGTCACCGCAATACAGGCAGACGGGCTCCGGGCAGCCGGCAAGAAGCATACTTGTCTGTCCGGTCATGTACTCGTATGTGTCCTGTCTATCCCGTAATGGATGTTCGTTGCTTGTCCCTCAAAATTTACATTATTATTATGATTCACTTAATATAAATTTATGTTGCTATGAAAAAAGCTCCTAGATTTATTGAATTTCAAGTCCCGCCTGCGTAAGGCTGGGCGATATGGCCAAAAACATTATCAAGATAAAAAATTTCATATCAGTCGATATCGATAATTATCACGATAAATGTCAAATCATTATTTCTTTCAAGTTTAAAGGCAGATTTTTTTCTCCTGAGTGAAAGTTGAAAAAACCAGACAGTTAATTGGTGAATTAAACAACTCTAAATACTCGCGCAGTATTTAGTGCGCATGCGCGTATCATGCGTAAAGCATGAACATTTATCGAACTTTTGTTAAAATTATATAGAGGAAAATTATATTGCGATAATTATCGTTATCAAATTATCACTAGGCTCTTCGCCTGCGGTTGCATTGGCAGGGCCAGACCAAATGATTTTGCGGGCCGTATCCCCACCCCTGGTCTAAATGAAAGTTGTGAGTGAAGTTGGAATAGCATAAGGTCATTATTTTTTAAAACATTCAGATGCTGTACTACATATTGCTTATTTTGTAGGCTGCTATACTGCCAGTTGGCAGATTTGTGTTTGGAAATCAAGCAGAGGACTTAAATGAGCCCCGGCATTTATTTCCCACTCAAGCATCGCTGACAGTGAGGAGCCACCCAGGCTTGTTGTGGCAGACTGGCAGCAGTGGCATTACTGTGGGTTCACTACTGGAAGCACAGCCTCATGAGTTTGATTTTGTGATGATCTTACATGAACAAATGATTCCTGTAGGAGCTCATTCCCTTGAATACTAATCTGTAAGAGCTGTACTAGTGACAGCACAGTGTGTGGCAGGAAACCAAATAGTGACTCACAGGACTTGGGTAGTTTTGGTTGCAAAATCGGCAGCTCGGTAACACCACGCGACATGGACATGTTTTTCTGAACTGAGACACAGCTAAGACATTATCACAGTTATTGTCTCATGGCATTTGAATACATTTTCTAACATTTGGGAGCTCAGTTTTAAATTATGCAGTGTTTTATGTTGTCTAGGTTTGGTACTCACAAGATTAGGACATGACCTCCATTAACATTTGCAGACAATATCATAACATAATGATTTAAACTGACATACCTGTAGAAATAGTGACAATCATACTCAATCATTTGAAGAAATCAAACCATAACAAATGATATACAAATGATAAATTTGAATATTAAAAATGATTATTTTTTTTTGAAAAGTGGATAGCACCTTTAAGATGCTTAGCAGATGGCCATATCCACTGTAAGTTGTGTAGGTTGTAATGAATATATAGGCAGGAAGATTGCTTCCCTAAATTAGCCTTATTTCTTGGAAACAAAAGCTTGTACTGGGTAACAAGAATTCTATTTTTGTTCAAATATGCCAGGGCTCCACAACCAATTAATGAAAGGCACAGCAAAAGCTGTGACTTCCCTAGAGAGCTGCTAAACTGTTATATCTGGATTACAAGAGGCGCTGCTCAATTAAACAATAAATATTTGTACATCTCAGTTTCGTATTGTAAAGCTGTCTCCCAAGAGCTCCACATCAATGACTTTTGCCTTCTGTCTCCCGTCTTCGCTCAGATGTTTATTGGGTTGTAAGCCTAACACTCTGAAGAACTGTCAATTCATTAAGCTTTAATTCTCATTCTGGGATGATTACCTTCATTCCCATTAGTGAGGGAATGAATGTGAATCAGCCTCACGAATTGATTATTTTTGTCCTCTTTCCCAGGTTGTAAGAGACCAGATCACACACTGTACTATGAAGCTGCGGCAGACCACGGGGCTGATGGAGTACTGTCTGGAGGTGCTCAAAGAGAACGACCCCAGTGGCTTCCTACAGGTACTGTAGACAGATCTTTTTACCTTCTTTCTAAAAATATTTTTGTATAAACTTGCTGCAATTTTAGTTCCAATGCACAAGGGATAATTGTCTCCTTGAAGTTTTAGACAGTTAAAATTCTTATCTGAGTCATTGTATGAGTCATTATCTGAGTTAATGTTTAGGTAATAATAACAGGATGGTTGGGAATTTTGTACTCCTTTGTCTTTGTCTTCTTTTTTTTTGTCAGACCTAATTTTCCCCCAGAATGTAATTTGAACATTTGTCCCTATCTTCACAATATGTGTTTGAAGTGCAATCTGAAACTATAATAACAACCATTTAGTTTTCAGTTTATGATGATCTGTTCAGATACAGCATGTCTCTGATTGTAACACAAGGTTCTTGATGTACAGTAACTGCCTGCAGCTTTAAATTGTGCTGTGAACAATATTCAAAATACAAAAGGTTTAAACGAACCTGGCGAATTTAAAGAATACACTGGTTCCTTTGATTTGCCACCCCCTTTAGGATCAATGAAAAGTAGGGTTTTCCATTAGTATTTTCCATTCTTTCTTCTTTTTGGAAGCAGTGAGAGTGGGATTCTAGCCCCTAACTGAGGACTAACCTCATGTGGTACTAAGATACCACTGATGAAATTAATTTATAATTCAGTGGTATCAAACAAATTGTTCTAATAGATTTCAGATATAATAAAAGATTATAAGATAATTCTAAGATAAAAGATCTACTGTATATTCCTATATTAGGAGTTATAATGCACAATTTAAGCATCAGGACTTCATTGATTCAAAGTGAATTTTTTGCTAGCTGGTACTCATTTTTGTTTTTTGCTCCATTTCTGTTGGTAGAAATGGTTGCAGCAGAATGCATTTCCTTATACTGTAGCTCTGTTCCCCTTTATTACATTCATATTTGGCTAATCTTCCCTTTACAGTACTAACATCTAAGAAGTGGTTCTTTTTCTGTGTGTTAAATAGAAGGTTAATAAAATTGAGACAAAATCCTGGTCCATCAGGGATTCTGTTATATCTAGGAAATTTAAAAATTAATGAAGAATTGACTGTTGTATCATTTACTGCAGTGCAAATCTTTTATTTTCCAGAGCTCACTGCAAACTGCTGAAATAACAAAACTATCAACTGACTCAGCAAAAGACAATGGCTTTAGATTAATTCTTGACTGGTGGAAAAAGGGACCTTAAGATTTTCATATTCTTGGTTACTTTAAGGGAATCCAGGCAGAAGAATTACTAGATAAATCCTATAACTTAAATAATGTTTGACAAATTCTCAAATTCAGATATCTTTATGCCCCAAGCATCCTGATGTTTCAGTGTTTGTTGCCTTGTAAAAAACACTTCTCATTCCCATCATATCCCAGTTTGTTGAATTACAAATTACACACATTTTTAAATTAATATTTTGAATACAATAATTTTTCATAGTAAACTGATTACTTTTGCAAGCTATGGATACAACTGTACTGAATATTTGATCCAGGCTTGATGATTGACCCACATGTTCAAAATATTGTAAAAACATCATTCATCTGTAACAAACAGTTCTTTCCGGACCCTATCCGGACGATACGATCCAGGGAAAAGTGAAGAAACACGGGGGAAAAAGTCATGCAGGATACGGGAATAAAAACAGGGGGGCGTGTCCAAGGAGTGCTGGTGGTCGGGGAAGGTGTAGCGAGGCAAACAATCCGGGGAGGAGTCCAAAGAGAAGTCCTGTTACGAACCCTGCCTCCCGGCAACGGAGGAGGCAGAAGTAGGCGTAGCCCCTATC